TCGAGATTGGTAACGTGAATACGGAACTTAACTACTTATCCAACGTTCTGCAGCGACTAACTGCCAATTTCAATAACCTATTTCAATTCAAAATCTGTGTATTGAAATCTATTTTGACTGAAACACCATACAACTAATATTAAAATTCGATTAATATCTATAGATTTTGGATTAACCTCTTAACTGCCGGCATACCCACTGCATACCATGGCTTATTAAATGATTTCGGGTCAAGTTGTGCAGTACCTAACTGAATTAAATCTAGTCGCTGCTGCATGATAATTTTGTCGCCGTGATTATGTCTAGTGGGTTACTGAATACGACGATTCATGATACTGAAAAATGTACGATGATGATTCATGACGCTCAAGGTTATTTTCTTTTTCAATCTCTTTGGATGTAGGTGTTGCATTGTTCTCACACAATCGAACCAACAAAACTATGTAACCAACAAAACTGGTCTAATTGAAATAAATAATGAAATAAATAACTGACAAAGTGTGGGAGAGCCATGTTTCGGCACGAATTGGCCGGCTCGACCGGAGTGATACCACGGCCTCAGAGAAAACCGACGTGAAGCAACGCTTGCGTCGTGTTTCGTCGTGTGAGTGAGGTTACCGGAGGCCCAATTACCCTCCCCTTCCACAATCTCCCCAATCCCTGAATCCCCAACGATCCTCAAAGTCCTAATCCCCAAAAAAAACGGTAACGCACTTGTAACGCCTCTGGTGTTCCAGGAGTCCATGGGCGACGCCGATTGCTTACCATCAGGTGATCCGTCTGCTCGTTTATCGGCTTATGCCATAAAAAAAATGATTTTGACTTTGTAAAATATGAATAAAGTGGAAAGTAATTCATTTACTTGGGTATATTATGTTTCTTTTCTGGGGAACTTCCCGTGTTTATGGTGATTAGAAATGCCCTTTGTAAGATCCCCAATGCCAGGATTACCTGCTGTGGCTACTGAGGCACCGTTACAGTATGCTCTACTACTGGGAGAACCACCTGAGTCCTCCAGTCATATGGGACATCCAGGAAATTCCTCCAGATGAATCCGATATATGTATGTATCAAAACAGTCTTATTAGGCTGACGGTGAGAACGCCTTGGCATCTCTCTAGCCAGTTCTCAAAGAGAGGTCTTACCAACGCGATAACGCGAGCCCGTCACAGTCAGTGTCTCCATCTGCCCATTACATTTATTATCTCCATCTATCTGTATCAGCCATGAGATTACACGGGATAGATATGATATACTTTAGTTGTATTATTTACAGAATATCACGCCTTTTATCCCCGAAGGGTTGGGCAGAGGTGCACATTATGCCACTGTACAATGTAACACCCACTTTTCACTATATTATTATATATTATGAGTCCCATGTAATAGCCTATTGCCATATCCCGGCCACAATTCCAGACTCCGTGCTACAACTGTTTTTTTTTAAAAACCCAGTAATTCGTTGCCCGACCCGGAATCGCACCCGACACCCATTACCGTCGTCGTAGGTAGGTACCGTAGTCGCACTTGCGACCAGTCAACTAGTGTCAATAATTCATCAAAAATAAATTCATCGACTTTAAATGACAGTAATGTCAATAAAAGTTGATGAATTTAAAAAGGACCAATTAAAAGGTATTTCTAATTGGGTAAGTAAAAGTGTTTTTGGGAAGCTTGCATACTCATAACAACTAGAATTGTTGTCTTCTCAAGTTACGCATTTATAATATTTACTTGCGAGTTTTAACTTCAGTTTTGTTTGTTTTGACAATCTAGGATAAATCTCGCACAATTAGCACAACCATTACAACCAAGGTTTGTACCACCGTCGCTATTAGCATTCACTTCACCATCGCCAGTATCACCATACTTATGCACGCTGCTTTCACCGATGATGTAATTGTAAGTAATCCACAACTCCTAAATTTCCAACTCCTAATCTCTTTTGGAGAAGTGTGTCCAATGATATGGTTCAAGGGCTACACCGATTGCTTACCAGATGGTGATAGATCTCTCGATCCATCTGCACGTTTGGCAATCAATTCCATAAAAAATATAATTTTCGTTTCTAGTTTATCGAATGGAAAGACGACGAGACAGAGGGGGAACCAGTTTTCATTCCAAGGGTGTATCGGAGCATTCTACGGACACGCTTGAAATTGGAAAATGCTGCCGAAGAACCAACACCTACTTCTAATTCTGTCCCTGATAGGGACCTTAGTCCCCAAGACCCTATTTCCATTTATCAGCGACACTGCACCCAACCCATTTATTTAATTACTGAAAAATACTGTTAAATTATACAAACTGTAGGTATCTATTATTTTTTTCCAGCAAAACTATTTGTTTTTAATGTCTTCGTCAGGATTTTGGGCTACCACATTACACCAACGTGGTAAAGTGAGTCAACAATATAAAAGTTGCAAAAATTATAAATCAATTTTCAAATTAAGGAACGGCTTCTCCAAAAATGACAAGACAGGAAGTTCAACGACCCTATTAAAATTACCTTGGCTACAGAAACATGCAAATGTGAACCCAGGGAAAACGAACAACCTAGTGAAGATACGATGCATATACAAAAAAATATTATAGACTTTGTACTGTAACATATTTACAACAACGAACAACAATCCATAGACAACATGCAGCATGCGGAACTAGAACCTCACACTACTTTACCTAGAGCAGAGACAGATACACCAAAAAATCTGAGCCGCGTCGATCTTTAAGACTTAAGAGCCGGCCGGATCGTTTGAACTTACCTATAAAAACCACCCTGTTCCATCTCCTGCGTTTTGAGCCATAGTGCCGGAGGACTTAACGAATTGCCCGTTAAGTCCTCTGCGGCTCCACATCGGGCATCAGCCCTACTGGACCTCATAGTACGCGACGCCTCGTACACTCGGGTCTGGCTGTAGTCGGGCGGAGAGACACCAGTGCTCGCCGTTCGCAAGCCCGTGCTTACGGTGGCCAGAAATCGTATTGTCTCCAGGCTGCCATGACATCGCACCGCTATCACCTTCAGATCCCATGGCGGTCCCAAGGAAGTTCGCTGCCAACCCGAAGATAAAAACACGTGGGCTTGGACTAGTAGAGGACCACCTTCAGTCCTAGCTGCCAGATCCTCTCAAAGACCAATTTAATTTACACCATTTTTATGAGGGGGCACCGTCAAATGGCTCCTCCCGCCGTGGATGAGGCGAGACGCATTGTCAGACTATTACTGACTAAAAATCACTCCGTTCCTACTCCTGCTCTTCGAGCCAGCTGTTTGCTAGGCCCTCACGTACTAACTGCTTACTTACTACTGCGCTCTTCGATCTGGAGGCGAAGGTGCTCGCGCGCTTGTTTTGCCTGCGCGTGGAGGCTCGTCGCCGGGGCTAAACTCCGCTGCTGCGCCAGATAAGTGCGTGGCGGGAAATGCTCCAGCGCGATCTCATGGCGGAATAGCGGCAACGACTGGTCGTAGTCCGGGCCGTGATGCGGAGCGTAGAGGGAATGCCGTCTCCTCATTTTGCGTAGCAGTCATACTGGCTAAGGAGGAGGCGGGGCGCGTGAGGCAGCGCTGTGCTGCGTCCTCACAACCTAGCTGTCGCGAAGAACACTCCGGGTGTCGGGGATCGCGGGACGATCTCCGGCCACCGTAATCACGGGCCTGCGGACGGCGAGCATGGTTAGCTCGCCGCCCGACCAGAACAAGACCCGAGCGTACGGCGCGTCGCGTTCCGCGCGTACCTCAAAGAGCCATCAGATCACTACGGATGGAGCCGGATGGCCACGGGTGGATACGGAGCCACGGAGAACGTAAAAAGTTACCGGGGCTCCGGCTCGAAGTGCAGTTGTAGGAACGGGGTGGTTTTTAGTCAGTAAGAGTCTGTCACTCCCTCCCGCCTCACCCAGTCGGGAGAAGGAATTCGATGATTTCCCCCCCTTAAAAAAATACTCCTCCGCCCTGGCCAAGAATGCCAAGGTCATCATTTCGGAAATAGCCACAACATCCACTGATTTTATTTAGATGATCCAGGGAAACCTGGAACAACAAAAGGACTTCTTGACAAGTATAGAAAATGCTTCATTGTCCTGGAATAGCGTCATTGCTAGTATAACAAACTTTATGGCTGGGATTGATAAGAAAACATTAACCTCTCGAATGTGAACCAAGGGAAAAGGACAATCCCTCGGACTACCGCGACTACGTCCCATCATTTTAGGGATTCATGGTTGGTTTAAATTCCTAATTTAAGTTGTGCCTCTTCGGGTTGGTAGTGCAGGCGTTGAGCGATACACGGCATTCGGATACCGAACATATTTCGCGTAAACTCCCAAAGAGAACCGTTCACTCGACCCCGTGCACAGTAACTCCTATTCCGTGCATGCCTCACGGTCTCATACGTTTTACCTTGCACTCTGCCATGCATACATACATGTGTCCTTACAGTATCTATACCACTTCCTATAATTATAATTACACTGACAGACAGACGGCCGGACAATTCAATTTTTGAAATTTTAAAAGTGCTAAATTAGGTATTAAATGAAATAGGTAAATGCTTTGACTTTGAATTTGAATTGTCAGTAATTGGACAAAATCATTTTTTTTCAAGGAAACTCCGTTTCCATTAATTTGTTTTTGCACTTACAAATATTTATTCAGTGTAGGTTAAACGTTAAACCTCATAATCTTCCACTAGGCAACACTGTGCAGTGTGTATGCGTCATGAATTCATGATGCGCCATGATAATGCCATGTATCATCATGACGCTAAACATGTAGGAAATCCGCAAGTAAGTATCTCTTATGAGGAACATCGTCTATCTAGGTACTCATAATTTCACATGCAACATTTGTCGGTAACATTGTTGCTAGAGGAACGAGTGTTGTGCAACACGTCCATATAACTATGTTCACAAACGCATATTTTGTAAAATGGAACGCGCGCGTCAAAATAATAAAACTTCATAAACTGGAACTGGAACACTCTTGACCGTTTGACGTTGACGTTACAACTTCTAAGTTTTGTGTTCGGTCTTTACTTTAGTTATTCTTGGTGTTATTGTACATGAGTTTTAAAGGTGATTCATTATAAAGAAAATGTCGCCTCCGTCTGAACTAAGTTTTGAGGAAATACTCAAGTTTATGTTGTTGCACAATGGCAGAGTAACTAACCATGAATTGGTGAAACATTTTAAAGTTTTTCTTATGAATCCTGATATGAGAGGTAAGTTGTATAAATCATGGTGTCCTAACTATTTTCTATCATGTTTCCTTGAAATTAATCTTGTTTTCTAGATGAAGCCAGAAGTACGTTTAAAAAACACGTAAATTCCCTAGCAATTATAAAAAACCAGAACAATGAGAAGTGGCTTATATTGAAGAAAAAATATATGCCAACTAATGGTAAAGATAATGAAGAAGTCACAGAAAAGCCAGCTGATACTACTAGCACGTCAGTGACTGAAACACCCACAGAATCAGAGACACCAGAGGTTGAAGAACCACCAGAACGTCCACCTTTGCCATTGCAACTTAACCAAGATTTTAATATAATAACAAGTCTTATTCAAGATAACATGCAAAATCTTAATAATGCTGAAATCATCTCTGACAGTCAATCTCAAGAAAGCTTGACATCTATCCCTAGTGAAGACATACCACCTAAAGTGCACCCACGGAGACGGTCATCAGAAAAAAGTATTGAAAAACGATCAAGTGTGCAAGGAATGCAGGGACACAGATCATCTATACCTAATCAAGATACTTCTAGACCAGAAAGTGATGCATCACCAACATTAACTTCATCTAGAAGTGAAAGCATGTTAGTAGATAGCGAACAGACAATCTCAGTGAAGGAAAGAAAGCAAATGTTTAACAGAATGGCTTCTGAGAGTGATGTTCTCAAGACAAACAAACTGGGTGGAAACTTAAGCTCACAGGTGAGTACATAACAGTTTTTTATAAATATTTGTTTACATAAATACCTACAGTGTTCCAAGTTATCTAAAGCAACTGATTCCTAAACTAGGTAGCAGGAACTGAATAATATTCCTACTAATCCTACATCCTACTAACCTTGTATTATTTAAATTTAAATATATAATAAAGAAAACAAATAGGTATCATGTTCTTTTTAACTTACTTGCGGGATGCAATGTCAACAAAGTTTAGTTAGTTGGTAGAAAGTTCAAACTTAACACAAAGCAAATAAAGACTTTAATATCTATAATATTAGTAAGCTAATTATTGTTAATGAATATTTTTTATTTATTTACTTTTATTTAAAACATTTCATATAAATATATTCACTTAAAGGTATTTGGTAGTTGCAAAAGAATTTTCTACACATCAATGTTTGAGTAGCGTAGAAAAGTGTGTTGTAGGTGGTAACTGCAAGATGGGGAGGAAATTATTCCCAAAATAAGGCTGCATGGAAAGCATTATGATATCAGTTTTGATATGTTTCGTTTTCAGTGAAGTGTTTGTTATATCTTGAAGTATGTATTTTATTGTACAAATTCTCAAGTATAAAAGGCTGTACCTATTTCAATATTTCATTTTCAGAAGTATGGTTTACTGCTATCTTATCTAAGTATTTTTTGTAAGTATTTAGTATTTTTTTTAATCTTTATTTACTTGTTTATAAATGTATTGAGGTGTTTATCCATTAAGGATATGTCAACTAATGTGGTTGTACCTTATTCTAAAGTGAACATATAACTTAAATTACAATTTCACAATAAGTATTTACATAGTACCGTAATTATAGACACAATTAAAGAACAATAGGTTGTGGTCACCGGTGACCGCTCGGTGTTTGACAGTTTAATGACATTAATTGAACACATTAAGTAAATAACTACTAATTACTCTTGGACAATTTTTATCATTGCATACAATCGTTAAGCCACTTCCGAAGTTGGTTGTGCAAGTATACTTTGTATCAAATCTACGTCCAGTCTATTAAGTTTGAATTCTTGTAATCTATAATCTTTAGTGTTATTCTCTTTTTTAATCTTGTGTACAATTTTTAGTGCATCTGCATTATTTCCTTACATCATTGCATTTTGAGCAAGGGCTTAGTATCTAAGAAGAGTTTCCGTGATAAGTTAAGAACACGTCTTTAGTAGAATCCATTATTTATAATTTAGTTTTTAAAAAATTTGATATCTCTAACTCCAGGTTTAAAAGCATATTTTTAATTTTCATTAATTGTTTGATGTTCTTTGATAAGATTTGAATCGATTAGTGAGCTGACATTGAAATTGGTCACCTATTCCATCTATTGTACAATTTATTTTAATTAAATAAATATTTATTGTTTTATGCATTGCTCAGGTCATATATTTCTTTTTCTAAAAATGGTTTAAAGTATCCCATAACTGTCTTGTAGGAAGATACACATATGTATACTTTTATCTATAGGTATAATTAATACATAAAGCTGCCGAGTTGTATCTTGTTCAAATTGAATAATTCTTTTGATGTTCTTTTGGTAGTGTCGAAGTAGATGAAACTGAGCTGAAATTGATTTTTATTACTGTTCTAAATATTTCATGTCGAAAAACAGTACATAAAGTTCTATGTTCGAATTAATCATTTGGTTGATTACCACTACAATGATAATTTACTTAGGTACTTAATTGTTTTTTTATATTGGTAACTATCTACAGTAGTTTGTTATTTCAGTGTTTATGTAGTGGTTGATGTATAAAATATGCATAGTGCTGACATTCAGTCTAATCTGGGTAAAACTTGTTACCGAACATGAAAAGAAGAAGAAAAAGAGATCTTATGGTTCATCCACAGCTGGTGAATGTGCCGTTCAAGAGCTGCTATGCTATTCTGTATGCTGTTCTGTTGAGAGACGCTACGGCGTTCTCACCTACCGCCTGACGCAGGTCCTCACCGGACATGGAAGTTTCGGGAGGTACCTGTGTCTGATGGGGCGGGAGGAAACGCCCGGGTGTCATCACTGCGAGGACCGCCCTGAGGACACGGTGGAACACACCGTAGCGGAATGCCCTGCGTGGGCTGAGCACCGCCGTGCCCTCAGGGAAGTGATCGGCGATGGCGACCTCTCGCGTCCGGGCCTAGTGCAGGCCATGATGCGGAGCGAGGGGGACTGGGATGCCGTCTCCTCCTTTTGCGAAGCAGTCATGCTAGCTAAGGAGGAGGCAGGACGCGTGAGGCAGCGAAGCGCTGCCTCCTCGCAACCCGGCCATCGCGAAGGACACGCCGGGCGTCGGGGATCGCGGGACGATCTCCGGCCACCGTAAGCGCGGGCCTGCGGACGGCGAGCATGGGTGGCTCCCCGTCCGACCAGAAACAGACCCGAGCGTACGGCACGTCGCGTACCGCGCGCGCCTCAAAGAGCCATCAGACCACCACAGATGGGGCCCAATAGGGCCGATGCCGATTCGGAGTCGCGGAGAACCTAACACCCGTTAGGTTCCCCGCGGGGCTCCGGCTCGACGTGCAGGAGAAGGAACGGGGTGGTTTTTAGTCAGTAAGAGTCTGACACTCCCTTCCGCCTCACCCAGGCGGGAGCAGTCATTCGATGATTTTCCCCCCTTAAAAAAAAAAATGCTATTCTGTAACTTTGTTTTCGAAAGATCGAAGTGAATTCGATCGCGGCCCGTCATGTGATTGGTCGTGCAAATAATCACGACCAATGATGGGCGAGAATGCGATCGAACTGACTCCGATAGTTCGAATAGACAGTTACAAAGTACTCTAGCTTGTCGCGAAACGCTCGTGGACAAGTCGAATCTGCGCGTGTATATTTTTATATGGGTCTAGGGTTGGCGGCGTATTTGGGGAAGTTTCTGTTACTCCGTTTTACCGAACCCTAGGCGGAGGACAGAAGAAGCCGATAGGATATCCTCTGTACTCTTCACAGTGGGGACAATAAGTTGCTTCCACCCGCGTATCCATTTGTGAGACGGGACATAGGATGGTTTTTAGTCAGTTTGACAGTCTTATTTGTCCCCTCTTAGATGAAAGGGCTTCACGACTACTCTACCTTGGGATAAAAAAAGACTAGCAATGTACTAAGTACAGGAAAATGAAACTGAATTAAAAAATATGTATAATGTGGTGAGAAGAATCATTTTTTGAGGAAAATAGATCATCATTATTCTGTACTATAACGGTCACATACATACACGCAAACACATCGCGCGTATTAATTTTTTTTCTCATTTTAATTCCGTTCATTGTTATTCTTTATTTCTATGTAAATTAAAAGCTGACTCCTTCACAACACATGAATTCCTAGTGTGAGTCCAGGGAAATACAATTATTTTGTTCAGTAAATATATTTTTATATTAAACCGGATGTTCATTAAAATTAACATTTTTAATCATCTCATAGGTGGTTTTTATCTGAATCCTTTCTGAAGGTATGAATAAATATTGGTATTCGTTAAAATCGTATTCGCCTGCTGCTGACAATTGGGATGATGACGGGGTATGAAAATTAAAAATCTAATTAGTCCGTAAGTTAGGTAATGAAAAAATATTAGACACGTATTTTTTATTTTGTTGTATATTAAAATAATAGTTAGAACGAATCAAAGTTTAGAAGTGACGTCACGTGAAATTTTAAATCAATATATCGTCGAAAGTATTCTTTTCTAAATTAGGCATATACCCTATTGTATAAACTGTAGGTGTTAAGTTACGGTTCTGTGTGCAGGCTTGCTCGTGTAGCCATAAGTGTGAGATTGTGTGAAAATTAATTTCACCATCAGTATTATCCTTATTATAGTAATGACGAAAGCAAATGACGTAATTAAAAGGATAAAATGTCGTTAGTGAATATTTTTGTATTAAACAACCAGTTGTGTTTACTCATGTATATAAATATCTAACTAATTTTTATGTAAAGCGAGCTAAAATAATTATGAAGTATTAGGGGTTATTTCTGGGATGCCAAGCGCGCAGCACCTGTTGGTCGTCTGACAATCATTAACAAAAATTTTGACCCTCAAGAATTTAAAATAGGTAGGTAGTTTAGCGACACATGACAAATGACAGAACTCATATGACGCGTATATACCATCGATTAGCAAATCAACATGACGATACAATCCTACATCGTACATGTAAGTTTACATGCGAATAGGATAGAAAATCACAACGAACAAATGTTGGGCTGAAAGCCCGCCAAGCACGATCACCTCGCCTGGTCGGAGGATGCACCTTTTCCAATCTTAGGGAACTTTACTCGCTGTTCCCTAAGGCTGAGTTCAGAGTCACGGCGGGTCGCGAAAGCGAAATCCGCTGCACACAAAATTCCGAACGCCGATTCGTGCGTAATAATGTAGGGAGTGGCATACCATTTTAGAATCCTTATTAAATGCGCTGCTTTGGTGAAATTTGACACTACTAGCACAATATATTTTTTTTCAGTACAGTCGCTTAAAGTTAGGTAGGTGAAAAATTTATTGATTGGCCCAGAATTTATTATTCCACTAGCTTTTACGCGCGACATATACCAACACATACAGCACCATCTATACCAATACTTTTGTTTTCCCTCGGGAATATCAAATTTTTTCGAGATAAAAAGTATCATATTATTTAATCCAGACTACCAACTTTACGTCTGCAAAAAATCAATGCAATCGGTTTAGTAGTTACGGCGTGAAGTCGGAACAAACAACCAAACGAACTCACTTTCCGATTTATAATATTAGTAAGGATAAGGATAGTAAGGATAATACTGGAGCATTATTCAGGATAACACAAGCAAAAATACAGACGAAAAAATAAAGAATCGTAGCAACAAGAGCCAAAAGACTGACACAGGTGTACTTTTTCGTGGAGTACACATAAGTCATTATAATTTAAAAACTATATGACTTATGATACGACTTTTTTATATTTTTCTGATAACTATTGGAACCTTGCCAATCAACTGGTACCACTTGAT